TTGGACGATACAGCACACTTCTGCATATGATATTAATGTGGAAAAGTTACTTTTTCCACTATGAACAAGCTAATTTAACCTTGTGGGGATTTTTCTCTTAAAAATAGTTGTATTTTCAAATGAAATATCCAGCTGTTCAGAAGTACTATATCCCTGCAACATCTTTTCAAGAAACATTTTAATGTCTTTTGCATTCTCCCTTTCACAACTGATTTTAAATAAGTTTATGTGTTCGTGATTGTTTCTTTAACATCCATTATCCTGTGGATTAACTTTTCTTCTTACAGAAATATGCTCATTAGCTATTCTTTTAGGGAATGTGTATAGGTAAGAAAGATTTTTTAGTTTCTACATGTCAGAAAATGTATTTTTATCTCATTCTTGAGTAATAGTTTAGTTGGTTATGAAACACAACACCGTTAGTCTTTTACTCCAGTGATTATTCTTGCTTGATAATGAGAGATACCACTGTCATTCATATATTTTTAGATGGGGTTTTGTTGTTTCCCAAGCTAGTTTTGAACTCCTGGATCCAAGTAATCCTCCTACTTCAGCATCCCAAGTACCTGGGATTACATGTGGGTACCATCATACCTAGTTTATAATTCCTTTCCACAACCAATTATTTCATTTGTTGCTTTTGTTTTTAAAAGACTTTGTACTTTTTAAATCAATCATATTTCCTCAAAATATACACTTTAAGTCAGTCATATTGTACTCAAAATTTTTTAATTTTTTAATTTTCCTCAAACTTAATTTTACCTAGAGTAACTACATGTTGTAGTTCATTATTTTGTTGGGTGTTGCTTAAAGTTTCAAGTAACATAAAACTTTGTCTCAACTGACTTACTCAGAAGTAAATCTTAACCTTATATATGTTCCCCAGTAGGGTCAATATTATCAGATTTTGTTCTCAATCTTTTGTGGTTCTGCCATTCTAAACATGCCAAATTTCTCCATAAAAACCTCTCCTTACAGTTACAAAATGGCTAAACACTTCCAGATGTTCTATGCAGACCCAATAATATCTACCAAATGAAGCCATCTCTTCCTGTTTTTAACCAGTGAAAAAATCTTTCTAAAAAGTTCCTCAGTAGACATATAGTAAATACTACATTAAGTGTATTTCTTAATAAATCACTAAGAACGGGACTCACATAAACACATTTGTTTTTAGCTAAACACGCGGTGTTGTAAACAATAGTGGATTACCTAAACTGTCAGAAAGAGGAGAGCCAAACAGTAAAATCTGCTTGCCTTGCCTATCTTTGCATTAGATATCTTTACTTCTTTAATTTTTTAGTTTGCATGGATATAGTAGAAAAGTGTTACGTTCTGTGTTGTAATTTTTATTCTTTTTAACTCTCCATTTTGACCCATCCCCACCTACAAGCTTTAAAATTACTTCAGTATAGCAAGGTGTAGTGGCTCACACCCATAATCCCAGCTACTTGGGAGGCTAAGGCACGAGGAATGAAAGTTCTAATCTAGCCTGGCTAACTAAGCGAGACCTTGTCTCAAAATGCAAAATAAAGAACAACACTGGGTTCAATCCCCAGTACTGGAAAATAATAAATACACACATATATACATACATAGTCAGACTGCTCCACCTACCAGAGCCTAGAGCAAGTTATAATGGTAAAATTATCTAATACATTTTATAATTACCTAAACCACTAACTAGTATTATTAGTAAACTGTACACCTTATTCAAATTTCTAATTTTTTAAATATTACTTTCTTCCAGAAGTTTTTTTAGGATCCTATCTTGTAATCAGTTGGGTTTTTGTTTTTGTCTCGTATTTTCAAGTTCCTTGAATTTGTGAGTTTCCCAGGCTTTTCTTGTGTTTCATAATTTAAAGAGTACTAGCAAGTCATTGTGTAAATGTGCACTTAGGTTTATCTGATAGTTTCTCATGATTAAAATAAGGTTATGAATTCTTCAGCAAGGATATCACAGAAATGATGTGTCCTCAGTATATCATGTCAGGGAATTTATATATCAATGTCTTATTACCAGTAATATTAACTCCGATTATCTAGTGACAGTTGTCTGTTGGGCTTCTCCATTATGAAAGTACTCTGATTACTGTATTTCCCTTTGTATAGAATAAAAAGGGTGGCATTCAGACTATGAAAATTCACTCGGATTTTCACTAACTTTAGTATCTTCAGAGGGCCAGGGATATAGCTCAGTGGCACAGTACCTGCCTGGCAATTGCAAGGTCCTGAGTTCAACTCCCAGTACTGTTCCCCCCCAAAATAGTATCTTCAGAGAATGCTAAATTATGACTGTGTATATACAAAATTATTACTGGGATGTTGGTCTAAAGACAACTTTCTATTTATATTTACTTGTAAAGCTACCAGGAAGAATTATCTTTTATGTCACTTTTATTCAATTATATTACCATGGACTCATAAGTATTTTATTCTATACATTAAAATTTAAAACTATCTCGTTATGCCATATCACATACAAATTCTAAATCAAAATGATCTAAATATAAAACCTAAACTTGTCACACAGGATGGTGCATTACTGTAATCCCAGCAATACAAGTAGCTGGGAAGGGTCACAAACTGGGAGGGTCACAAACTGAAGCCAGCCTGGGCAAAGTGAGACTCTATAATCAATCAATCAAACAATCAATCAAGAGCTCAGGATGTAGCTCAGTAGTCAAGTGTCCCCAGGTTCCATCTGCAGTACGGGTGGAGGGGAGTAGGACACCTGCCTATTATACAGAAGTCCTGGGTTCAATCTCTAGCACAAGGGGAAAAAAAAAATTATAAAACTTATAGAAAAAGAGAGCATGTCATAAATGGCAAACATTATTTGTTATGACACCAAAAGCACAATCTATAAAATAAAATATTAATAACTGGGATGTCACTAGAAGTCCACTTATTTTTATTTTTATTTTTGTACCAGGAATTGAACTCACAACCTCACACTTGCCAGGCAGGCACTATGCCACAGAGCTATATCCCCGGCACTGAGAAGTCCATATTTTTGCTGGATATGGTAGCACACACCTGTAGTCCCAGCTGAGGCAGGAGGATCACTGCAAGTTCGAGGACAGCCTGGGCTACAAAGTGAGTTCAAGGCCAGCCTGAACTACATACAGAAATCCTGTCTCAAAAAGACCAAAAACAAAAAAAAAAAGTGTATTTTTGTGCTTCAACACATAATAGAGAAAAGGCAGACTGGAAGAAGATATTTTTAAAATCATATATCTGTTTAAAAAATAACTTTGTAGCCCAGGCTGGTCTTGCACTCACAAGATCTTCCTGCCTCAGCTTCCTGAGTGCTGGGATTATAGGCATGCGCCACCACATCCAATCCTTTGTCTTATTCTTGATCTTAGAGGGAATGCATCTAGTTTCCAATTATTAAGTATATAGGATTTTTGTAGATATTATTTATCAAGTTTAGAAAAGATCTGTTAGACTCCTATTTACTGACAGTTTTGGGTTTTTTTGTTTGTTTTGTGTTTTTTGAGACAGGGTTTCACTACGCAGTTCAGGCTAGCCTTAAACTCACTTTGTGAATATACAAAATCATATATTGAACTCATCATGAACTCATCATGCTCCTTCTGCTTCATCCAGTGGAGTGCTGTGATCACAGGTGTGCACCATCATGCCCAGCTCATTTTGGCTCTTTAAAAATAATTTTTTTTTATACAAATGGATACTCATAAGTGAAATAAATCAGACTCACATGTGTAAACATCATACTGTCTCATTAGTATAAGCTGAAAGAGTAAACAGATCCAAAAAGGTACACTAGAAAGGCAAAGAAACTGCTCAAAAGGAAAAGAACAGGGCCAAAGATATAGCTCAGTGGCACAAGTGCCTGCCTGGCAAGTGCAAGGTCCTGAGTTTGATTCCTGGTACCAAAAAAAAAAAAAAAAGAAAATCAAAAGGAAAGAGCAATTGAGATGGGGGAAAGGGAATAAAGAAGGGAAAAAAAATACACATATATACATACATACAAGATAGCTACGATAATTGTACTACTAATTTCTATTAGTTCATTGAAAGGAACAATTAGTGATTATATTGTTTAATCACTTTTGCATGCCTATATCTGGTGATCTGAGCAACTATTTTGAAGATTAACAATATGCAACATAATAACAATTGTTAATTTCCTATGATCTTGTTTTGAAATTCTGTATCTTATAGTTTTTTTTTATTCTCTCTTAAACAATACAAATAGGCACTGGATTTTGACAAAGTGCATTTCTGTATTTTTCTTTTTAAAGACAAGTTCTTGCTACATAGTCCAAGATAGTCTTCAACTCTCTAAGTAGCCAAGGCTGTGCGCAAAATCCTGACCATTGTGCCTCAGCCTCCTCAGTACTGGAATTACAGGAGTATACCACACACGTAGCTCTGCTTCAGTCATATTACGTGGGTTACATTAACTATTTCCAACTGTTGGGCCAGCTTTTCAAAGCTAGAATAAATGCTGTTTCACCAAGGTGTACAATTTTTTTTTTGTTATAGTTGGATTAGATTGCTAATATTGTTTTGAGTATTTCTGCACCTATGTTCATGAGAAATTGGTCTGCAATTGTTCTTGCTCATAATGTTGTCATCTAATTTGTTGCTGTTGTTTTGTATTGTGACGCTGGAGATCAACACACAACTGGAATACTCTATGAGGGAACTTTATATGTAATCTTCCCCTAAAGAGACATATTCTCCAATATATAAAAGTATTTGTATTTTCTATGGAGGGACATGATACACTTGAAGTATTATTTACTTACTGTAAAAAAGATAAATTAAGGTAAGAAACTTGGATGATATATAACAGAAAGCATTTTCAAGTATAAAAGCATGCATAAATTTCTCTTAGAAAACTAATGATTCTAAATAGGTTTAGAATTCTCTCGCTTAGCTTGTAGTATAATCCTGAATGAGTCCTATCCACCTGTAAAAAAGTCTCCATAAAAAATATGCAACATCACCAGTAGCTAGAGGTTCTTATAATTTTATTTACAAAAAATTCACAAAATGTCACAAACATAAATTTGTTGGTAATATTAGCAGAGTCAAGAATAGATTAATATAAAAAATCACTTGGTATATAATATGTATTAAAATATAGCTTTCACCCTAGCTTTATCCATTAGTTTTTTAAGTCCAATTTTTAACAAATCTAAAAACAATGTAATACATATGAAACATTTTGCTAAATATTTTTAAATTAAGCCACTTGCTACATTGGATATTACTTCAACTTTAAAACCACTTACAAATTAAATAAGGTAAGATATATGATTTAAAAATATCTTCTTCCAGTCTATCTTTTCTCTATTATGTGTTGAAGCACTGTAATTCCCAAATATAAAGGCATTATGCATCAAATGGAACTCAAAAAGAATAAAAGATATTGCCACAAATTTTTTAAAAATTATATTACACACATTGTAAGTTAACCAAAAAACTGACTAAAAGAATATTGGATAAGGTACATCAAATGCTTTATAAGTGCAGAATATTTTTTTACTTGCACTACTGTCCATGTAGTTTAAAACAGCAAAGAATTGAATGAATCAGAAAAGACCATTTTAAAAATGAATAGATGGCAGTATGTACCTTCTAAGGATAAAAGATGGACTACTACTTTGATCTGCAGTTAATAATCCTTATTCAAATAGTCCTGAATTCCTCTAATGTTTGGATGACAAGATTCTTTATTGTATGAAAAGAGATCAACCTTCTACTGATGGAAGGCTTCTAATCTTATTCGGGTTGGATCTTCTGGATGTCTTAAGGCAATTCCATTACGCAGCAGCAGCTCAATATAAGGTGGCCAAAAGGAATCACTAATCTTGACATATGGATCATGTGGAACATCAAATAATCTATTTATAAGAATCTAGGAAAAAATATTGAAAATACACTTTACATGGAGGAAAATCTACCTGCAGCTTTAATAAAATCAAGAATGGATCTACCAAGAATGTTGACCTCTTTTCTCATTAAACAACTGTTTATAACTTTTATATACGGCACTAACCTAAACAATTTTTTAAAGACTATAGATATTAGTAAATACAAAGTTTTAAAATTAATTTCTGTATCTTTTTTTTTTTTTTTTTTTTTTTTTTTCTCCGGTAACAGGAACTGAACTCACGACCTTGCGCTTGCCAGGCAGGCGCTTTTGCCGCTGAGCTAAATCCCCAGCCCCTAATTTCTGTATCTTAACATCTTAAAAAAATTCCCCAAAACTAGCTAGAAAGCATTTGTAAGTGTTCTTTCTCTTATGATTAATAAATTCTTTAGAATAAAGACAAGAATCTTACAAAGTAAAATTCATAGCCAGGCCTGATGGCACAAGCCTGTAATCTGATTATTCTGGAAGGCTAAAGAAGAAAGAGATCAAGTCTTACAACTTAGCACTGCTCTACCTCAAAATTTGAAAAAGAAGTTGGAGATGTAGCTCAGTGCAAAGACCAGGGGTCAATATCCAGTACTGCCCCCTACAAAGGTAAAACTCAGAGTGGTAGAGCAGTTGTGAACACGTGGAAGACCCTGGGTTCAATCCCCAGCATCAATCAATCAACAAAGTACTGTGCACAGAGTGTCATAATACTGGTGGCAGCATGTATGGTGGCACACAAAGCAACTCAGGAGGCTGAAGCAGGAAGATCAGAAATTCAAGACCAACCCAGACAACACAGCAAGACTCTGCCTCAATATTAAAATTATTTCAAAAGGGCTAGGGACATAGCTCAGCGGTGGTGCTTACCGAACATGCACAGTTCAATCCTATGTGTCACCGAAAGGAGGAAGAGGGAGAAAGGGAGAGAGGGAGAGAGGGAGAGAAGGGAGAGGAGAGGAAGACAAAAGAAAATTTGGGGAGTGGGGAGTGGCTCATCAGTCCCTCCCTTCAAAAGCTCCTATCCTTCTGATAAAGTTTAAATTTCAAAATAATTTTATTGCCATCATTTCCTTCAACTTCATTTTTTTATCAAGAATGTTGAGTGATTTAAAAATTGAGACATTTTGACAATTTCTATTTATAGGTGACCATTTCCCAAAATGCATTTCATTAAATCAGCCTCACTATCTATGTTCTTAGTCCTTGATAAATAGAATTGTGTGCTCTTAAGAAAAGTAGACACAGATTGCTAGTGAGAACTGAGAATCATTTCTTTCCCAAATCCAGTGGCACTGGGAAAATTTTAAGACACAAATATTTGCAATTCTTTGAATACTAATATTTTATAAAACTGTAAAAATGCTAAATGTAAACACATTTTTGACTCCTCATCCACTTCCCAATACTTTTACAAATTATAAAAGCAGGACTCAGTAGGATTAAGGATTCCCTAAGAAACAAAAATTAGCAAAATTACACTCTATCTCTGATTTGCCAGGCCAAAGCTTTAATTGAAAGATGCTGGGCCAGGGATATAGCTCAGCGGCACAAGTGCCTGCCTGGCAAGAGCAAGGTCCTGAGTTTGATTCCGGGTACCAAAAAAAAAAGATGCTATTACTTTAAGAAAAATGGAAACGAAAAAGCATAATGTATATAAATATAAAGTACTATAGAAGTGCATAAAATTAACCTGTCAAACTCTAATTTCAATCACATTTCACAATCAGTATTTTATTTCTTGAAATGAGAACTAAAACTATCATTAATTATACCTATTTCAAGCCCTACAAAGGGGGGGAGCTATGTCTTCACTTCTTTTAGGTATTATGACAAAGAATTAAATATATTCCTATTTTAGAGCACTTGTGTATTTTAATACAATTTAAAAGTCTTCTGAGCTAGGGGTGTGTAACTTGTTATAGAGCACTTCACTAGCATTTGTGAGGCCCTGGATACATTCAATCCCCAGCAATATACTAGAAATGGTTAAATGCTAAAAATTTGTATTGAAAATGAGTATTTAGATTATATTTTATTTTTCACTGAATTGAAGTTTAAATATTGATCATTGATAATATAAGCCTCTGAAATACATTTAGTTTTCTAAGTTTTATACTATAACCCACAGTATACCTGAATATTTTACACATTACAGTTGATACTTTGATACCACACGAAATGGCAATTTTTATTTAAAAAATTAATATATCCATGAAAACAGCAGTCATAGTTTCACTATAAATTGGAGTAGCTAGAAAAGTTAAATGTTCTAATCACAAATCCAATAAATATTTCCATGTACCATTTCAAAGCAATAATAATCAATTAGGAAAGGTATCCTGAGGCATCAAATTAAGTGGACAGAAACATAGAATTTTACACTCAATTCATTAAATTACAATGAAACATGTTTTCTGAAAATACCCTTCTAAACTTACTAACACTAAGAAAAAAGAATACTAATTGATAAACGCCCTGTTCTTCACAGACTATTTTCCTCTCTGTCCAATTTGCCATATATTCTCATACCAAGATTTTCTAAAGTATTTAATATATTTAGTAATTTAGTGGGAGCTCAAAAACATTTTTTAAAAGGTCAAACATAATTATGAAACAAAATAAAATGTCAAACAGAAAAGTTCATAATTATTCACTCATTACATTTTGATAAAGGAAAACTGTGCACAAATGTTTACAACTTTGTACAAAAACTGTTTACACTCACTTGCATAAGTTATACTACGGAACTAAAATGCTGTCAATATAACACAGGATTCTATTATATAAATACTAAGCAACAAAAATTTTTTAAGTCTGTAACTATAATAAACCTTGAGAACATGAAAGGGTTGAACTTCAATTTTTTCTTTTTAAAAAATGACAATATTGTTGCTAATACTACACAGAAGACAAAAATTCATTTTATAGTAGAGACAAATTATAACCGTATCAAAATTGATGTATAACCTAAGAATTAAAGTAGTAGTCTGTCTTTTATAACCCTGCCTATAATTGTTCACAAGTGACTAAGAGACAGCTTTAAGATTTAAAAAAAAAAAAAACTCCCCCACAAAGCCCTTACCTCTAACACTTCATGCAGTGTTATCAGCTGTGCAGTCGATTCTTGAATGATTTTCTTTAAGAAAAATGTGAATAACAATTAACATTTTAATTCTGCTGACAGCAGAGAGTTGAACTGTATTATAAGATTTTTAAAATTAATATTTCTTAGTTGCAATGGTACAAGTAACTAAAATCAATCCATATTAAGTGATTTATTTTTTTTTTTATTTTTTTTTGGTTTTTCTCCGGTACCGGGAACCGAACTCACGACCTTGCGCTTGCCAGGCAGGCGCTTTTGCCGCTGAGCTAAATCCCCAGCCCCTCATATTAAGTGATTTAAAAAGACTTCGGAGCCTGGCATGGTGGCTCAGGCCTATAATCCCAGCACTTGGGAGGCTGAGGCAGGAGGATCACGAGTTTGAGGCCAGCCGGGGTTACACAGTGAGTTCAAGGACAGCCTGAACTACATAGCAAAACTCTGTCTCAAAAAAAAAAACAAACAAACAAAAAGGCATCTAAAAGTAAACAACCTTATTGTACATAAGTCAGATTCATAAAAATGCAGTTCCAATGACTTCTAAGACAGAGAAAACTGTTATAAATATTATGTAATTCCTACTACCCATAAACATATAAGGGGTAAATAATATATATGGCATACAAAATAAAGTCTAATATCTGCAACCCTCAATAAAAATTCTCCAAGTAAATGACATTCCAAACTATAATTTCAGAAGAAACTTGCTTCTACGGTAGCTTGTTCATCTTTCCACAGCTCTTGACAGCTCTTCACATTAAACTCACTTTTTTCACTGAATGACAAAAAAAAATCTCATTCAAATTTTACACAAGTATTTTGCAAATATTTGAAACAGCTAATGTAAAACCCAAGACTCTCTTCTTCATGTAAATTGCCACTGATTTCTTCAATTATTTCCACATGGCATAGACTAGCAACCTCTCATAATAAGGGAGGTTCTCTGAATGTATTATAGTTTGTTTGTTTGTTTGATCCAATCTCTCATAATGATCTAGGTATGATGTAACCATCAAAGAAAAAAACTGCCTTTTAATTAGAGATGCTGGAATACTTTTTATTAAGATTAAAATTGTAACTGCAAATCATGACTTGCTTTACAAGGTAATTAAGGTTAAACAAGGTCACAAGGGTGGGATCCTAATTCAAAATGACTCGTTTCTCTAAAGAAGAAGACACACTGAAGAATTCCACCCTCTCCTTCAACACAGAGAAAAGACCAATCAGAGAACACAGTGAAAAAATGTCATCTATAGGCCAGGAAGAGAGGCACTGCTAAGAATTACTCTTGACAGTGCTTTGATATTGGGCTTCTTGCCTCCAGACTGAAAAAATTAAAATTAGAATTCATTTGTTATTTAAGCCATAGTGTGTGGTATTTTGTCATAGAAGCCCACTAACATACTGTATTATGGCTGACCAGAATAAGAAACAGAGACAAAGAGAACACTATCCTTTTATAACCTTTATCACTAATTCTTACATATCATGTACAAAAAAGTGAGGTTATCAAATGTGAGCCCATGATGGCTTCTGGTAATCAATGATTTCTTTTCAAGATGCCTCAAACTTCTGATTCTATTAATGAAGAAGCTTAATATGTTTAAAAAATAAAGTTGAAAAAAATGGGGACATTGAGATCAGAAAATAAAATCAGTGAACTGTTGCAAGATTAAGACCGTTAGAAGGCAAGGAACTGTGCACTTTACAAAAGGATCACTAGAATCACTATCAATAATTTCCTCAATAAATAAAAAGTATAAACAATAAGTAGAGAGACAAAGTTCATAACAAATATAATGCCTATAGATAATGTGCAAGAGGAAAATAAAAAGAACATATTTTTTAAAAAAAACTTTCTTTTTCCTAGTATTCTCACATTCACTCATCCAGGAGGTATAGCCTCAGTAGTAGAGCACATGCTCAGCATAACCAAGGCCCTGGGTTCAATACCTAGCACCAGATTAAAACAAAAAAAAGGAAAAGAAAAAGGATTCACAAGGTATTATAAAAGATAAGCAAACGGAAGAAATACAATGACATCAGACAGAACAGGTTGTACAAAAAAGCGAGAGGCATTAACTACATACTTGTGGGAGCTATAGTGATATGATTGAATAGATTCATGTAAAAGATGAGCAGATGAGCAACAAGCCTGAACAGATAGACAAAAACCAAAATATGAATTCATTTTCCTACAGCATTTATAGATTTCATCCTACGGGAAGCCAAAGTTTTCTTAAAAAAAAAAAACTAAACCATATTTAGCTCATTCTGGTGCCAATTTCAATAGTTTCACTTATTTACATTATATGTTATATTAAAATAAAGAAAGGGGTTTTTCACAACCTCCTGTCACCAAATGGTTGGCTTGCATTTTTGGAAAAGATTTATTATACCATAACTACTATTCAAATAGTCAATATCCTAGATCAGCAGCAATGAACCTATGGTACAAATGCACCAGTGGGCTGTTTGTATCATTGAAAGCTCTACAAGGTTTGTCATCACTACCTACATTAATAAATGTAACACTTTTCTGATTTAAAAAGACACATACTGTGACAATTGAACTGTCAAGTTGATCCCGTGGGAGCTGCCTACAGAATCAGTAAAGCACACTTCTAGGTGAAAGCACACTTCTACATGTGTCTGGGCAGATCCTGAAGGCATAATGTTGGGGTCTATATCCAGCCCCTTTTGCCTTTCTTTCTAGAACTGCTCTCCTGCTCTGCTTCCTTGCTGCCATGAGCCAGGCAGTTCTGCTCCCACATGCTCATGGAAAGTTTCTGCCTTCAAGCCAGCCAACCATGGGCTGAAATTACCTGAAACTGTAAGCCAAATTAAACTTCTTCTCCTTTAAGATGCGGATGTCAGGAATGGTGTCCCACCAACACCAGCCAGAAAGCTAGCTAATACATATATTTATCATGGAAAATGGTAAAAAGCAAACAGCACAACAACAGACAAAACTCATCTGCAGGACATAAAGTACTATTCTATTTTTTGGTACAAATAAGATTCAATTCATAAAATTTAGTCATCTGCATTTTACCCACCTCACAATATAATGTATTTAATTAACTTCTTTGATGGTGTTCAATATATTATTTTTAAAAACTGTGATTTTCCCATCATATGAACAAAGTATTAAAAATGCATTTAATACATTCCATTTCACTGACCAGTCAAGAAATTTTTTTATTTTCCAGTAAATAAAAAGTGACAATGGCATATTTCTGCACATGTATATGTATATGTATCTTTAAGCTATTGTACATAAGAAAATTTCCCTTTGGACTTGCCTAAAACAATCTCAAATACAACTGTTTATAAAAATATCTCTTAAAACTGAACTGTTTTTTTCTTTTTTGTACTGAACATTGAACTTAGGACCTTGTACTTGCCAGGTAGATGCTGTGCTACTGAGCTTATATCCCCAGCTAAAACTCACCTTTTTCTTCTTAACAGTTCCATCAGGCAGAGGAAAATGGTCTTCTAGAAACTCACCCAAGATAATCAAAAGTTTCTCCTTAAATTCTTTTATATTAAGGATTTTAGTTTTGAGTTCATTAAAGATTCTAATAGATAAAAAAAATTGAGAGAAACATTTAATAGATGAAACACATATGCACACATAACTGGTTATTCATAAGGCTGATCAAAAACTTTGTTAAAACTTTATTTGCTCCAACCAAGTAACTAGCTTATGAAAGTAGTATTTTCCATAAATCATGTAGGGAAATTAACAGTTAAACCAAGTCAAGTCACTCATAAAAAAGTCATTGTAACAAACAGTTGATAAAAGTCAGGGCAAGACTAATGCTTCCTAGTTAAATTTGCCTTTTCAATCTGTATTTCATAAAAAACTTTTTCCTATTCTAAAAATCAAGAACATTAATTACCTTGATTCAGAAAATGTTACAACTTGATTTTTCAATTCACTGTATAGTCCATTAAGAGATTTCATTATTTGTTCCTGTTCATCCAACCACTGTTGCTCCCTTTAGAAAAAGAGAACAAATAACTAAATAGAACTTTAAATGGCAATTCAATGTGCCAATGATTAATGGTAATTATGATATAAATATACCTCTCTAAGTCTTCTTTTAACTTTTCATTCTTTGACTGAATAGCAGATAGTACCATTTCAAGATCATGTCTCAATTTTTGGAACTAGAAAAAAAAATTTAAATTAATTTATTTTTTAATAGTATAAATAGTTTTATATCTAAATCATAGTGAAATTTACACATTGCTCTAGGATACTTCAATTCAGAAGCCAACAGTAAAAGTTCCTAGCAAAAAGTGTGTAAGAACATAAATACACAGCAGGTGCTAAGGTTTTAGTAGCATTCCACTGTTAAATATGAATGTTGAGTATTCCACTGTTGAATATGAATGTATAAAATGAGTGTTGAGCAATATATTTTAATTCAAACTGCAATGTAAATTAATATTTTCAGTAGTTGGAAAGATCAGGTCACTTTTCCAATAGGACATATAAACATAGATATAAATGAATAGCACTGATTGCATATTTATTCATCATTCAGTCAATATTTTTTGGTCAGTTATTAGTTACCAGGCATTGTTGAAGGAGGCAGGGATACAAAAGTGAAGAAAACTGAGGCAAATCCAGAGAACCAAATAATATGCAACTTTAGACAGTGCTAATCAGACAAGAGGGTCAAGAAATAGTTATTTTAGGTAATCTGATGCAGGGGTGAGCTCTATAATCAGCTAACATTTCAGTAGCAGAGAAAGAAGACAAAAGATAAATGAAGTCATAATCTAAAAAAAAAAAATCCCAGATAGAGAAAAGTAAGTACAAAGGCCCTGAATCAAACAGTGTGCTTGAGGCATCTGAGGAACAAGAGGGAAGACTGTGGTTAACCTGAATTACAATAAACTCTGGAATTACTAATGTGCCACTGTCCTGATGTCAGTGAAAAGTTTTGTAAGACCCCAGGTAACTCAGAAAAAGGGTGAGGAGGGCATTAAGCCAAAATGGCAATTAACTTGGTTTTTAAAATATACAATTAAATTTTTTAAAAGGAGGAAAAGCAGTAAGTATGAGAAATAAAAAGATAAAATAGAAAAGTAGGTTTCAACAAAACCACACTGATATTAAATATGGTCTAAAAATAGCTAATAATGGAATTAAATTAGAGATAAGAGAAAATAAGAAAACATCAAATTAGATGGATATTAAAAAACACTTCTAGGGACAGGGATATAGCTCAGCAGCATAGTGCCTGTCTGACAAGCTCAAGGTCTGAGTTTGACTCCTGGTACCAAAAAAAAAAAAAAAAAAAAAAAAAAAAAAAAAAAAAAAAAAAAAAAAAAAATTAAAATTAAAAAAAATAAATCATGTAAAAACACTTCTAAATAATTGGTAAGGGGGCCAAGGATACAGTCCAGCGGCACAGCACCTGCGTGGCAAGCACAAGGTCCTGAGTTTGATTCCTCGTACCAAATAAATAAATAAACAATCCACAAGTCAAACAAATAAGAGGAAAAGAAAAATTATTATAACTTCAATCATAAGTTATCATGTTTAAAAATAAAACATCAAAATTTCTGTGAAGTAAAAGCAGTACTCAGATGAGAATTTATATCATGAAAAGCTTATAGTAGAAACCAAAAAGAGTTCTCAAATTAATGACTTCACCTTCTAGCATAAACTCAAAAAGACCAAATAAAACCTGTAGTATGATGAAGAAATAGTAACTTAAAGAAATGCGGCGGTGGGGCGGTCAATGAAACCAAAGTTGAAAAAGTCAATGAAATTTGCCAGATTAATTATAGAAGTGGAAGAAGACACAAATTACCAATATCAAAAAGAAATGACGAGCAATGTAGTTGAAGAGAGCGATATATAATGCAACAACCACTGTTGATTCATATTATTTGGTCTCGAGACCCTGTATCACTTTGAATGTTCTTGCTTTGATTTGTTTATGTTCGTGATACTGGTATGCTGCTACTGTTCTATTTTCTTGTTTGTTTCTCATTTACTACTCTCTTTAAAATAAAAAAAAAAGAAATGACACCAGTACAAAAAAAAAAAAATGATAATGGAGGAATGTTATGAACAATTTTATGTCAGTATGTGAAAAATTAGATCAGATGGACAAATTCTTTCAAGGACATGTACTACCAAACCTCATTCAGAGATAAATAAGAAGTCTTACCAGCAATAAAGAAATTATACTTATAGTTTAAATTTTTCATTGTAGTGTTTTTATTCAGTTTATAAGGAAACTCTGGCCCAGATAGTTTTATCTATGAGTTCAAACCAAAGCTTAAAGAAAAAGAAAATGCTGATAAGTTCTGTTGAAGAGGTCAGAATGCTTCACAATTCATTCTATGAGGCTACATTAATCTTATATCAAAGCCTAAAGAAGACATCACAAGAATAATACAAAAACCCTACAAACCAATACACCTCTTGATTATAAATGAAAACATCTTAATAAAATTTCAGCAAATTAATCAAGAAATAAATGAAAAGGATTAATACATTATAGCAAACTGGAGCTTATCCTAGTAATGCAGTTAATTAAGAAGTAGAAATCAATTTTAAAAGTCAATCATTGTAATTCACCATATCAACAGACTAAGAAAAAACAATCATCTCAACAAATTCTGAAGAGGAAGTGACAAAATTCAAAATTAGTTCATAACTCTAAGAAACACTTTATAAACTATAATAGTAGGATTCTATTCATTCAATTAAGGGCATCTATGAAAATGTTACTGCAAACATAACAATGAAAGAGCAAATCCTTTCTGACAAAATCATGAACAAGACAAAATGCCCATTTTTACCCACTTGGTATTATTTTGATGTAGTTCAAGATCAGTAAAATATGCCAAGAAAGATATAAAAACCATCCAAAATGCAAAGGATAAGTAAAACTGTCTTTGATCTCAGATGACATGACTATATAGAGAATACTACAGAACTATTTAAAAAAAAAAAAAGCTAATAGAATAAGGGTTTCTCAAACTCACAGCATACAAGAGGGGATTGAAAATACACTGCTAAATTTTTTAAAATTTAGTGTAGTAAAAGACACATTGCTCTTAATCCCCCTAAACATATTTCCCGTCATTCAAATACATCTATTCCTATCATTCTTTCTATGTGCTGAAGCAGTTCTGGAAGTCCTCTTTTGCATCTTTGCATGGTGTAATCAAAAATACATGAAAGCACTGCTGAGTCCAATCTAAAGGAAAGGCAGGATTGTAAAAAAAAAAAACGTGACAAAGTGTCCTCATTCACTTTATTCACTGGATCTGGCACTGTGTAACTTCTGGCTCTTCCCCAAATTCTAAATGACCATGAAAGGCAAATATTTTAAATTGATTCAAGACATCAAAAAAGTCATGATCATGCAACTGAAGACATTCACAAAAGAACATTTCTAGAACTGCTTCAGAAAGTCGAAAAATTTATGGGACAAGTGAGATCAAAGTGAGAAGGAATATTCTGAAGGGGATTATTGGCAATGTGTCTTTTACTACAATAAATTTTACAGAAAATTTAAACATTTACCATATATTCTTCAATCACACCTCATACGAATATTAACTGTATTTGTATTTACTACCAATAACACCTGAAAATTGAAATTTAAAAGAATGCCATTTTAAGTGTCAGAAAATAGTAAAGAATGAATCTGACAAAAGATGTATGCTAAAAATTACAAAACACTCATGAGATAAAATTTTGAAATAAGTGGAGAAGTAAATAAATGCAGAGATCATAATAGCTCATGCATCTGCATTTCAACTAAATGTTAAAGAAGTCTACTCTTCCCAAATCAATTTACATATTTGTGGGAAGTTCAGTCAAAACTCAACAAGCTTTTTATGGATTAGAATTTAAAAGTCAACCTTAAAATTGATATGGAAATGGAAAAAAAATTGAAAAGAATTACAAAGTTAAGAAAACATGATTTCAAGGATGACTCACTCATTATGCTTCTGGAAACAAAAAATGTGAGTATTTGCCTAAAGATAGAAACATGAAACTGAGGAACAGAAGTATGCACAGCACAAAATAAAGAACAAATGGAATGTCACAAATAATTACATATAAAGCAGTGGTGGCAAACCTATGGCACAGGTACCACAGTGGGCTGTTTCTATCACCGAAAGCTCTAAAGGGTTTGCCATCAATGACATAGAGTAATTCCTCCTTAGGTATGATTTTGCTTTTTGTGGTTTCAGTTACTTGAGGTCAGGTGTGGTCTGAAAATAACTTATGGAACATTCCAGAAATTCACAATCCATAAGTTTTAAATGGTATGTTGTTCTGCATAGTGTGATGAGATCTTGCACCTATATACTTCATCTTATTTTGGACATAAATCATCCCAAATGATATATCCACAATGTATGCACTACCCTGCCTGTCAGTTACCTCGTAGTCATCTTAGTATTGATAATCACAGTATTGCAATGCTTGTGTTGAAGTAACCTTTGTTTTGCTTAATGGCCCCAATATGAGAGAAAAGTGATACTGGCAAGTGGGATATGCAAAGAGAAGCATTTAAGTGAAAATGTAGAAATTCTGACTTAATAAAAAGAAAAAAAAATGTGGTGGGTTACCAAGATTCATAGTATGATAAGGTATTTTTGAGAAACCACATTTACATTGTAGTATATGGTTATAATCGTTCTGTCTTACTACTGTTGTAATTCTCTTACAATATATAATATATAAACTGAACATTATCAGGTATATATACATATAGAAAAAAAATAGTTCAGTATTATCCATAATTTGAGGCATTCACTGGTGGTTTTAAAAAACACTCACTACTGGGTAAGGGAGGACGAACACTCCAGTCAATTTTCAAAAGAGGAATAAAAGAAATTCAAAGGAGAAAAGACAGTTTGTCAACAATCAGTGGTGGGAGAATTAACATCTATGTGAAAAAAAAATGACCCTGTATCAATAACTGACAAACATTTTCTAAAATGAATTATAGACCTAACTTGAAACCTAAAACTTAAAACTTTTGAAAGAAAACATACAAGACAATCTTTGTGACTGTGAGGTGGAAAAATATTTCTTAGATTTGAGCACAAATCTTAAAAGAAAATTTAATAAATGCAGTTAATCAGGAATCTGTTCTCCAAAAGCCAGTGTTAAGAAAATGAAAGGTTTAAACTCAGTGAGCCTAGGTTTTCAAAACTCTGTATGTTATCAAGAAAAGCTTGTTTTAGAGCCTATTTTTGGTCAGCTTCTGGAAGATGAAGTGAGTTCTTAGACTATCTTGCCTGATAAAAAGAGTATTTTTGTATGTCCAAAGCCTTGAGTCACATGAAACCAGTCTAAATAGATGGTTTACACTAACTGTTATATCTGGTGAATAGTCTTGCTTTGGGAGCAGGGCTGCAGTCATACAGATACTGCATGCATATGTGGCTGATGCCCATTAAAAATCCTGGGCAACAAGACTTGGTTGAGCTTCTTGATCAACTACACATCACACAAATTGTCACATCTAACTGCAGAGAGAATTAGCAGATCCATCTAACTATACTGGGAAACAGTTCTTATAAACTTACCCAAGTGCCTTTCTCCTTTGATCATTTTAATCTGTGTCCTCTCACTTTAATAAACTTTACAAGTTTAACAGTTCATCTGAGTCCTGTATGCCTAACCTGTAAACTGAGAAAAACCCTGACCCAACTGGTTTCACAAGTGAAACTTGCTATATAATCCCCTTGCTAGATGAAACATGTTGAAAACATTGGGAAAAGAAGTATGAGGTAGACAGCATGAAGAACATTGATGCCTAATGGTTACCAATGATCTAACAGTTCTACTTCGATAAGTTACTGAAGGCAGAAGACATCAATGAGCAGTGATAAAACTAGCTCCCACAGAGTTAGATCACAGAATTAAGAAATGTAAAATAATGAAAAGCTAAATACATAATCCTTTTGTTATTTTTCTATACAATAGTTAAAATGAAAGTAGTATGGGTCATAGGCTTTCAGTGTACCAAATTTGGATTTTAGCCAAAAGAACACAAAAGACTCAGAATAGTAAAAGCAATAGTAAAAGCAATCCTGGGGCAGGGACAGGATGGGAGGATTACAATACCCAATTTCAAATTATACTACAAAGCCACAGTAACAAAACAGCATGATACTGATACAAAAATAGGGTCACAGACAAATGGAAGAGAACAAAGGACACAGAAACCCATGCAACTACAGCCATTTGATGCTTGGCAAAGGAGTCAAAAACATACAATAAAGAAAAGACAGGCTCTTTAATAAATGATGCTAGGAAAATTAGATATCCGTATGTAGAAAACTGAAACTAGATCTCTAACCCTCATCCTATACAAAAATCAATTCAAAATGGACTAAAGACTTAAGAATAAGACCTAGAACTTTGAAACTGCTAGAAGAAAACGTATGGGAAACGCTGAAATCTTAGGCACAAAGATGTCTTGAATATATCTCCAGTAGCAGAGAAATAATAGCAAGAATCAACAATGATACTACATCAAATTTAAAAGTTTCTGCACAGCAAGAGAAACAACGCAGTGTGGAAACAGGCTACAAAATGGGGAAAAAAATCTTTGCCAGTTTGTCTTCCAAGAGGATTATCCTCTAGAATACATAAAGAACTCATACAACATCACCAAAAAAACCAAGTAGCCCAAACATTAGGTGGGCAAATAATAACAGGCACTTCTCAAATTAAATGGCTAATAAGCATATAACACAAAGTTCAGTATCTTCAGCCATTAGGGAAATGCAAATCAATACTACACTGAGATTCTAATTTACCCCAGTCAAAATGGCTACAATCAGGAATATAAAAATAAATACTGGAGGGCCAGGGATATAGCTCAGCAGCACAGTGCCTGCTTGGCAAGTGTAAGATCTAGAGTTCTATTCCCAGTAGCAATAAATAAATAAATAAATAAATAAACAAACAAATAAGTAAATACTGGCAAAGATGTGAGAAAAAAGGAACATTGCTACATTGCTGGTGGAAATGTAAATTAGTACAGGCACTATGGAAATCGGTATGAATGTTCCTTAAAAAATAGAACGAGCATAGGACCCAGCTATGCTACTCCTTAATGTATACCCAAAGGAATTGAAGATAGCATACTCTATAGGGTTAGCAGCATCTGCATTATCTTAGTTGCTTTCCTCATTGCTGGGACAAAATATCTGACACCCACAGTTTAAGTGAAAAGAGGTTTATTTTGATTTGTGTTTTTAGTCCATAGTTAGCCAGCTCTAACATAGGAAGGCATGGTGGAAGACCCTGGGCAGAAGAAAGCTGCTCATGATAGAAGCCAGGAAGCAGAGAGCGAAGGGAGGAAAGGGAGCAGGAGACACTCCCTAGTGACCTGCCTTTCATGATCAGGCCTCATCACGGAACAGCACATTTAGCTACAGTCTTCCAAGAATCAATCACCTTTCAAAAGCACTGCCTATGAATGCCAAGACTGTAGCAGTCATTAAGATATAAATCATAATGCCTATGTTTACTGCAGCACATTTCACAATAGCCAAGACAAGGAACCAGCCTCGATGCCCATCAACAAATGACTAGATAAAGAAAATTATATATCAGCCATAAAAAATGAAACTATATCATCTGCAGAGAAATAGATGGAACTGCAGATCATCACACTAAACAAAATAAGCCAGATTCAGACAGACAAGTTCTGCATGCTTTCTCTAATAATTGATTTGAAAAAAGATGCTCTAAAAATGAGAGAACATTATTAGACAAGAGAAAGAGAACACAGGGGCGTGGGGTATATGGGTGAGTAATGGGAAATGGAATTTTTATATTATTAGTTACTGAGGTAACAAATGTCTGCTATACTCTGTTAAGTGAAACAGCTGGTTACAAAACAATATGACATCGCCAATTTTTTATTTTCAAAAATATATTTATGTCTAAAGTTATAAAAAAAAAATCATCATTTATCTATCCTATCTCATTGCCCTTCAAGACTGAGAGAACACCTATGCACCAAAGTTTTCACTGCCCTAAACCTATGGTCACTTTGGATTCCAGGAGGGCCCTAGATGACTGAGATTGTCCCTCAAGTCACGGGGATTCCCCCCATGAAAACAAAACTGTCCCTCAAGTCATAAGGATTCAACCTGAACTATGAAACCAGAACTGAGGATAATTATCAACTAGATGTCAACTGCTATAAACACCCCATAAAACTGGTCCCTTTGCTTCACTAATGGGCCAAGCTGGTGCTCTTCATCAAAGTACACCTGCTCTAGCTACTACTCAAGCTCGAGTTCTTTATTTATCTTCACTGAGCTTTCAATTAAAGCTTTTGCCAATAAATTCAAACTGTCATTTTAGTTTTAATTTCCATTACCCCTAAAGCAAGGTCCCACATTAACAGTGACAGTTCTATGAAGTATATAGTTAGTTTTCATCGTTTCTGGCATACAATTCCTAAAATCTTTAGAATTTTTTAAGTACCTTTTTTATGTTAATAAGTTGAATAATAGCAAGGCAGCATGTGAGCAGCTTCAAGGGAGTTCAGGATAACTAAACACATGGAATTTTCAGGATGGGATACTCAAAGGGCATAGAAGCTCCATGTCCCTTCCCACATGCCTTGCCCTATGCATGTCTTCCATCTGGCTATTCATCTCAAACCGGCCTTATGAGTAAAAGCATATCCCTGAGTTCTATGAGCCTCTCCAGAAAATTAAAGAATACAACAAAGGGGTCATGAAAATCGCCAATTTACAGGTGGGGAGTCAGAAGTATAAGTGAAACCTACTAATTGCAATTGTCAACTGCAGCAGGAGACAGTCTTGAGCAACTGAAGTATGTAATGCTACCTCCAGATGTCACTCTACCTCCTGACAGCGACCTGAGCTGAATTAAATTGTGATTGTTAGAAAATCATCTGTGTTGATCTGTGCCACAGAATTGGTTTCTGAGGGGAAGAAATCTCTCTAGATATATTTGACTAGTACTGCTGTGTTGCACTGAAAAGTGAGAGAGAGTGGAAAAACATGTTTTCCCTTCTCTAACCCTGAAGATATAATTCTCATTTCCATCTGAGACTTCATCAGAATGGCCTTTTCTGTGCATATTTTCTACTAACATTCTATTCAGGATTACACAGGTACTATCTAATGAAGCAGGGATTCTTTCTAGCATTCCTCTTTTAAGCCACCAAAAGAACTGCCTTAAAAGGTCTCCTCTTGGCTTTTTCTACTGTGGACTTCAAAATTCTTAGCCTTTCCCATTACCTAGTTCCAAAAAACCTTCCATATTTTTCAGTATTTATTATAACACCACCCTCAATTCTCAGTATCACCTTTCTGTCATAGTCTTTCTGGGCCACTGCAACAAAGTAGAACCATAGGCAAGCAGCTTATAGAAAATAACAGAAGATTAAGGTGCCAGGGGCTGGGGATTTAGCTCAGTGGCACAGCGCCTGCCTGGCAAGCACAAGGTTGTGAGTCTGATTCCCGGTACCGGAAAAAAAACACAACAAAAAAAAAGATTAAGGTGCCAGCGGATCTGTCTGTCAAAGGACCTTTTACTCATAAACAGCACTTTCATAAACAGCACATGATGGAAGGCAAGAACTCTGGTGTCTTCAATCACACATAAGGACATTAGTTCTATTTATGAGGGCTCCACCCTCACAACCTAATCACCTCCCAAAAGTCATACCTCCGAATAGTATTACACACAGGATTAAATGTCAACATGAATATAGGGAGGACACAAATATTTAGCTCATAGCAGAAAGAGAGACGTATGTTTGCAGCCACTAGACATGTGTAACCTTTTGTTTTTATTATGAAGAGAGGTTAATCAACTAAGAACTAGATACATGAAGAAAGGCTATATACTAACCACTATCATGAGCAGGAGTTCTGATGTAAAACTTGACTGCAAAATTCAAATCTTTAGAAACATTCAGTTCAAAAAACATAAATAAAAATTGAAAATATAACATGATTTCAGAATGGTTTTATCCTACTGCCTGTGTCAAAAACTAATTTAAAACAGATCTAAATATAACTTACTTGAGGATATTAAAACTGATAAATGACTTACCTCTTCCTTCCCTAATGTTATCAGAACATCTTCAGTCAGGGGAGTTACTGAAAAAAAAAAAAAAAATTTATACATACTTCGTTAAGTCTCAAAACTTCTATTTTGTAGTTTTCTAAGATAATGCTTTCCACCTCCATTTATATATTATAGAACTTCCGGGGGCTGGGGATTTAGTTCAACGGCACAGCGCCTGCCTGGCAAGCGCAAGGTCATGAGTTTGATTCCTAGTACCAGAACTAAAAAAAAAAGAACGTCTGGTGAAAATATATTTTCTATATTTTCTTTTCCCAGTTGGGATTGAATGTAAGGCCTTGGCAATGAGATACATGCCTGGCTATTTCTATTTTTTATTTTTTATTTCTTTTTTATTTTTAGATGGGGTTTTCCACCACCAGGCTCAGCTCAAACTTGCAATCCTCCTACCTCAGCATCCCAGAGTTCTGGAATTACAAGCAATTTTATTTAATTTCTTATTACACATAACTGACCTTATATACTTTTGTATAAACTTTACCATATTTGTGTATTTTGTTTTAAAGTCTTTTTGTTTTTTCAAGTCCTCAAAAGCAACTTTAATCTATGGTGTTCCTTAAATATTTCTCTCTCTCTCTCTTTCTCTCTCTCTGTCTCTCTCTATATATGCAAATATACATACACATAAAAGGTATATTATTTTTATCATTGCTGGTTTTACAAGAATCTATACTACATTATCCCTATCATGTTTTCACACAATTAAACTCCCATGGAAACCCTATCTATTCATCTTGTATAGATCTAATTAATCATTTAATAAATGTATAACATTTCACGGTGAGAATATATCACTGTGTATTGATTGCCCTACTTACAGAACAGTAACTTTGTAGTTTTTAGCAACAAGAAACAAGAATTGAGTAAATGTACAATAAATCAAATATATGGATTTATTCATTTCTATTGAACATATTCCCAGAAACAGAATGTCACAGAATGAAATGTGCATTCTGAATTTTAGAACAGAATGCCAGACTCCTTTCTAAAAACGTATCTATGAGCAATGAATTAAAAACACCAGACAATATAACTATTCTAAGTTTACCAGTCTAGTAAGTAGAAATGAAGGTTGAAAAGTAGAAAATTAACATATGCTTAATCCTTATACAAGAAAAATTTACCTTTCATAATTAAGTGCTACTTTCTACATGTGTTTCATAGGCCTATGTTAGAATTGTTTGTAGGGAGCTGTAGGATCGCTACTGCTATGAAATGAATAAGTATCACTCAAAGGCCCCATGTGTTAGACTGTTTGCCGAGCATGTGACATTACTGGGAGATGGTGCAACTTTTAGGAAGCTGGGTCTAGGGGGAAGAAGTCAGGTCACTGGGGACAAGTGCCCCTGAAGAGGATATTAGGACTCCAGTCCTTTTCTAAGTCTCTCTTTGCCTCCTGACTACAATCAGGAAATCAGTTTCTCCTAACATGTGCTCTTACCATAATGTTGGCCTTGCTCGAGGCCCAAAAGTAATAGGGCCAACCAACCATTGACTGACTCCTGAACTGTGAGCCAAAGTAAACCTTTCCTGCGGTAAGCTGTTTATCACAGATATTTTGTCACAGTGACAGAAAACCTGCAGCTACTAAATCATTTCAACAAATGCAACATAAAAATTCTAAGAAGGCATTGTTTTGAAACAAAATCTATCTCTTTGCCAGTATGGCTAAGTAAGAGTAGCATTTCAACATTCATTCAAACAATCATTTTTCTTTTTTTTTGGAACCAGGAATTAAACTCAGGACCTCACACTTGCCAAGCAAGCGCTGTGCCACGGAGCTATATTCCCAGCCCGCAAACAGTACTGTACTTATTTCAATAAGTACAGTAAAACACATCCTAAGAATATAAAAAATTTTAAAACCCTTCCAACATGGCAGCCTATGGGACTGGCACCAGATGGGGTGTTAGGTCAACAAAGCAGGCTATCCATTCAGATGTGGTAGCACACACCTATAATTACAGCTCTATGGGAGGTTGAGGCAAGAGAATCCAAGAATCCAAGAGCCACCTGGACAACTTAGCAAGACCCTGTCTCTAACAAAAATTTTAAAAAAGGGGTTGGAGATGTACTTCAGTGGTAGAATGATCCCAGGTTTGACCTTCAGTACCTAAATAAATAAATAAATTTAACATACAAGGTGAATGTCTTGTATGCTGAAAACTACAAAATACTGCTGAAAGAAATTAAAGACATAAATAAAAAGGCATTCCATGGTCATGACTAGACATTAACTTATTAAGATTCCATACTAATCAAAAAGATACACAGATTCAATATGATCTCTAACAAAATATGTTTCCCACAGAAACAGAAAAATCCATCCCAAAATTTACAAAGTATCTCAAGGGATCCCACACACTCAAAACAATCATGAAAAAGAACAAAGGCCTGACATCTACAAATTTCAAACTTATTACACCAAGTTACAGTTAACAAAACACTACGGAACTGTAAATGCAAACAAGAAATACAGATTAATAGACTAGAATGACGAATATATTCCCATAGAAATGGCCAAACGATTTTTGACAAGAGTGCTAAGAAAATCAACAGGAAACAGATGGCATTCTCAACAAAAGGTAACTGAGAAAATTGGATAAATGCATGGAAAGGTATTAAATTGAATCCTTTCCTAAGATTATACCAAAACAATCAATTCAAAACTGAACAAAGATTTAAAAACATGAGCTAAATCTATGAAATTCTCAGAGAAAAATCTGAAGAAAAGTTTTATGACATTAGATTCAACAGTAGCTTCTTGGATATGTCACCAAAAGCATAGGCAACAGCAAAAATAAATTGGACTACATCGAAATTTAAAACTTTTTAGCAACTAAAGATACAATCAACAGAGTGAAAAGGTACCCTAAAGAATGAGAGAAATATTTACAAATCAGATATCTTACAAAGAGTTACTATCCAGAATATATAAAAACCTAATACAAATCAACAGTTAAAAAAATAACATGAATAAGCGTTTCTCCAAAGAAAATACACATATATAAAGATGCTCAAATTATTTAGCATCAGAGAATGAAAATCAAAACCACAATTTATAATTACAGTATTACAACTATAATCACAGTTACAATTATAATAATTTCCTAATCTGTATGCTATAACAAAATACCTTAGATATAGTAATTTATAAGTACGAGAAATTTATTTATTTTTTTTTTGGTTTTTCTCCGGTACCAGGAACGGAACTCACGACCTTGCGCTTGCCAGTCAGGTGCTTAAGTACGAGAAATTTATAGCCAGGCATCGTGGCACGTACCTGTAACCCTGGAAGACTGAGAAAGGAGGACTGTAAGTTCAACCCTAGCCTAGGCAACTCAGCAACTTAGACAGACCCTGTCTCAAAACAAAAACTTTAAAAAGGTATGGGGATGTGCCTTACTGCAAAGGCCCTGGGTTCAATCCCCAGCATCACCATCAAAAATAATAATAATAATAATAATAATAACAACAACAAATCTAGAAATTTAACTCTGAGAACAAGGCACCAGCACAGTTAATGTCTGACAAGGGCTTATTTTCTATTTCCGAAATGTCATATCGATGCTGAGGCCTCACGTTCATAAGGGAAAAGGGAGCCAGATATGGTGGCACATGCCTGTAATCCCAGTACTGGGGAGGTTGAGGCAGGATTGCCATGAGTTTGAAGCTAGTCGGTGCTACATAGTGAGTTCAAAGCTAGCCTGAACTACATAGCAAGACCCTGTCTAAGAAAGAAAGAGACAGCGAGAAGTCAAATGCTCATATTAACCTATTTTATAAAGTCACTGATAACCTCCTAAAGCCCCTCTTCTTAATACTGTCACATTAGTGATTGGTTTTAACAAATAAACTTGAGGGGACACATTTAGAATATATGGATGGCTATTACCAAAACAACACAAAATAACAAATACCAACAAGGATGTAGAAAAATTTTTTAAATTATGTACTGTTAGATGGATTGTAATATGGTACAACCACACCACCATGGAAAACAGTACAGTAGTTCCTCAAAAAATTGAAAGTAGCCAGGGATGGAGCCATATGCCTGTAATCCCAGCTACTTGGGAGCCTGATGTAGGAAGATCACAAGTTTGAAGCCAGCCTAAGCAACTTATTGATATCATGCTCAAAAATTTAAAAAGAGCTAGGGATGTAGCTCAGTAGTACACCATTTGCCTAGTATGCACTAGGCCCTGGATTCAATACCACCAAAACAAGAAAAAAAAGTTTTAAGTAGAACTGGAATACTACCGACCAAGCTTACTTCTGGTCATCAATCCAAATGAATTCCATGGATATGGAAGAGATATTTGTACATGTGTGTTCTTTTTTGTGTGTTTATTTGTTTGTTTTTCTTCCGGTACCAGGAATTGAACTCACAACCTTGTGCTTGCCAGGCAGGTGCTTTGATGCTGAGCTAAATCCCCAGCCCCTCATCCATGTATATTCACATCAGCATCATTCACAATAACCAAGAGGTAAAAGCAATGAAGTATTTATTGATACTTAATAAAAGGCAGTACATACATACAGTAGAGCATTATTCATCCTTAAAAATGAAGGAAATTCTGACACATGCTATAACTTAAATGAACTTTCAGGACATTATGTTAAGTGAAATAAGCCAGTCACAAAAAACACAAATACCATATGATTCCACTTATACTGTATGAAGCATGTAAAGTAGTTAAACTCACAGAAAAAAAAGAATAATAATTGCCAGAGGCTGGGGGGAGCAGAAAAAGGAGAGTGAGTGATTAATGGATACAGAATTTCAGATTTCCAAGACAAAAGTATTCTATATGTTGGTAGTACAAAGAATTGAATTTTCTTAACACTGCTAAACTATACACTTAAAAATAGTTATGAGAATAAATTATATGTGTATCTTGATACAACTAAAAATTTTAAAAAACTGAGCAGAACTTTGGAGACTTGTGCAACTATAACAAATGATGCTACTAAAATTTCAGGAGAAACAAAGAGGAAAAAAGCAGTGGCAGAAGCTGGGAAAAAATGGGGATAAGTAAATAACTGAAAATTTCTCAAATCTTGCCAAAGGCATAAATCCACATACTCAAGAATCTGAATGAATGTTAGACAGAGTAAACCCAAAGAAAACCATGCCAAGATACATTATAATTTCTCTGCTAAAAACTAAAGAGAAAGAAAAAAATCTTGAAAGCAGCCAGAAAAAAACAATACCTTCCCTATGAGGGAAAAATCAGAGGAACAGTATATCTCTCATTAGTAACCAAGGAGGCAGAAAAAAGTAATATATTTTTCAAGTGCTAAAGAAGATAATGCTAAATCATATATTCAGTGAAACTATCCTTCAGGAATGAAGACAAAATCAAGACATCATCAGTGAAAGAAATAGTAAGAGAATTTGTCAGTAGACCAAACAAAAAGAATGACTGAAAGAACTCTTGAAACAGAAACAATAACAGAAGGAATTTCAGAATGTCAGGGAGAAAGAATAGACAAGAAATAACAAAATATGGGGCAAAGTGCTCACGAATGTATCACAAAGAAGTACTGCTAACAACTTGAGGGAAGCTTGGAAGTAGATCCAAACTTCTCAATAAAGTCTTTGATTATAATCTACCATTGTAACCTTGAGATAATTAAAGAGGCCCCAGCTATGCTGTGTCCAACTTCCTTACTCACATAATCTATAAGATTATGTAAATATGCTTAGACTACCAACCTATACAAACCATGAGATAATAAATCTGTGTTCTTTTAAAGCCATGCTAAAAAACAGTCCAAAACAAAATGAGAAAATTTTGATGTGGAAGCTGGTCTTTAAATCTACTGGGGTTCATTATATTACTCTCTTTGTCCCTGAAATTGTTACAACAAAAAAAAACTTATGTACAAGAGACAAAAACTCCTATTATAATACAGCAGATTGATGATGAAGGAATGACTAAATCTGAGGGTTCAATATTTAGCAACCATTCATAAAATATGAATAACGAAGACTAGGAAAACTCTTAAATTTATAGCTGATCAAACAGATTCCATTCAATGGGTAGGGAACAGATACCAGTTCATGAATCTGAGACATCTGTAGAATATATTGAAAAAGATGTCCAGAAGATGCAAGGATATTTGAGTCTGATGTTGCCAAGAAGTTTAATTTGAATGAATATACACTGATTTGAAAGTTTTTAAGGGCTCAACTATGTCCTCTAAACCCAAATTCATATGTGAAAAGCCTTACCATCAGTATTTTAGAAAGTGATTGTATGTGGAACTGGGTAAAGAAGTAATTAGCCAGGCGTGATGGCACAGGCCTATAATCCCAGCACTCTATGACGGTGAGGCAGGAGGATCCTAAGTTTAAACCCAGCCCAGGCAATTCAGCAAGACCATGTTTTCAAAAAACAAACGAAAAAAGGCACCTGCAGATGTAACTCAGAGCAAAGGCCCTGAGCTCAACCTCAAATACCACAAAAAGACAATGAATAAAACGGTAATTATGTTAAAATGAAGTCACTAGGGAGGGCTACAATCTAACATGACTGCATCTTTGTAAAAAGACATTAAGAAACAGAGGCAGAGAGGGAAGACAATGGGAAGACACAGGAGGAAGATGGCTCCTATGGTTTAGATGAGTGCCCCCCAAAGGTCCATGTGTTAAAGGGTTAGTCTCCAGTATGACACTACTGGGAGGTGCTGGGGCTCTTTAGGAGGTGGGTTCTTGTGAGAGATACTTGGGTCACTGGGGATATGCCCAATGACCCCAATGAATGGGACTGTGCACCTTAGTCTGTTCTGTTGCTTTGTGGCTCACGATGTAAGTAGTTTACTCCTCCACACATTCCACACCATTACCACCCAGAGGTAAAAGAACAGGTCCACCCAAGCTCAGACTGGAATTTCTAGAACCATCAGTTAAATAAAGCTTTTCTGTTATAACTATTTAGGTATTTTGTTAGAGTGACAGAAAGCCATCTACAATCCAAGGTGAGAGTCCACAGAAGAAATCAGTCTTAGCCAGGTGTGGTGGTGCATACCTGTAATTCTAGACACTCAGATGGCTGAGAGGAAGGACTGCAAGTTTGAGGCCAGCCTGGGTAACTTAGTGAGATCTTATTTTAAAATAAAACAAAAAAGGGCTGAGGATGTACTTCAGGGATAGAGCATTGGCCTAGCATGCACAAGACCAGGTTCAATCTCTATTTTCAAAAACAGCTTAGGAAAAAGAAAATATAGAAATCAGCCTTGCTCACATCCTGATCTTAAACCTCTAGTTTCCTGAATTTTGACAAAATAAATTTCTGTTGTTTAAGTCATTTAGCTTATGGTACTTTAAACTCTAGTAAATTAAAACAGAAGTCATAATTAAAGAAATAACACACAAAAGCAGAAGAAGAAAATATAATGCTGGTATAGCACATAGGGTCAGAAGTGAATAACGCTTAGCACAGCCCTCAGAAGAACATATTTTAACACCTGAGAATGAACAACCTTTGAGATACTCAATACTGTGAAAACACAATAGGATATATAGTTTAAGACCATTTTTACTCAAGAATACTGTGAAAACACCATAGGTTATATAGTTTAAAACCATTTTTGAAAAAGTCACTACCATATATTACTATATACAGAGTCCACAAAAAAAATGTATTCACACTTCAGGAAAAGAAGAACTTGTGTAAGGTATACGTTCTCCTGATTTAATACCTGCAGACTTTTATCTATGGGGGATCCTAAAAGATATTGTATATAGCAGAAAGCCCATTACCCTGCTGGTCCTTAGAAAAGAAATTAAAAATGCATGTGCAGCAATCTCAACGGACACTTTGATCAAGGTTACCTAAGCAGTAGTTCACCACACTAATAAATGTCTGGAAGCTAATGGCCACCACCTTGAACACTTTTTGCTTAAAGGTAACTTGTTATAATGTCTCAATAAATTTCATATCAAAGTATTTACACAAGTTTTTCTTTTTGTGAAGTGTGTATACATTTTTGGGGGTGGACTCTCTACCTATCAAAAACTCTAAGTATAAAGACTAACAGGTAATTAAAAAGATATGGAGCAATGATGAATATCAGCATGAACAGAGTAACTAAAAAAAGAATGTGGATAAAACTGTCTAAGAAGAAAATGAGAAAAAAGGATAGCTTACAACTGCTCCTTGGGAAATGCCAATAATTTCAATATATAAAGATAATTCTACAAAGGAGATCAAGGATGGAAGTAGAGGGAATTACAGGGAAAGAGGGTGTATCCTATATGAAATATCTATATGAAAACCAGAAGAGAATTACTGGATGTGGTGGCACACATCTGTAATCTCAGCACTTAGGAGGCTGAAGCATGAGGATTGTCATAAGTTCGAGGCTAGCCTGGGCTACATAGTGAGTTCAAGGTCAGTCTGGACAACATAGTGAGACACTATCTCAAAAAAAACAATAAACAAATACAGAAAAAAACCTAGGTATTATAACCATAAATTTTAAAGCCATCTTCTATTTCTTAACTAAAAATAAAAAATATATTGGTCTCCAATTGGACAAATCAAGAGATAACGTAAGAATTATATAGCCCCTATGTAAATAAACACCTAAATTGAAATAATTTTTTCATTAGGTAAGTTTCAGTCATTAAGAAACAAGTTAGTTTCTACTGAATAAAAGGTAATGCCTACGAAGATTTAAAAAATGACTAATAAGTATCTATAATAAAGATTACCATAATCTAGGTAAAAGATGTATTCATTTAGAATAACAAAATAACATGTTAAAAAAAAAAGAAAAATGAAATGTCCTCCTAGTATCAATAGAATAAAGGTTATTTCAAGAAAGCCAAATCCCTTTTGTAATTCTTCTTGTGATCATTAAATGTTTTTATATGAGAACATGATTTCTAGCTTTTTGTTGTTCTGTTTTTGTTTTTACTTATTCCTTCTTTTTCCCTCCCGCCTTCTTGACCAGTTTCTCAAATTTGCATGATGCTCTTTTGTTCTCCAGCCTTGCTTCAATAATTTAGTTCTATAAAAAGATCCCCCAAAATAAGAATCTTACTTTCAGGTGTTTCTTTGTGCCACTGATTGAGTTCAGCCGTCAAACACTTCACTTGCATAATTAATAATGATAGCTACAAAACAAAAGATAAAGATTTAAAGTCATTTCTTGTTCTTGCTATTCGCAAATGAAAATGTAGACCACCTTACTTCTTTAATAGTCCTTAACATAAATGATTAAAAAAGCAGGGCATGGTGATACATGCCTGGAACACTGAGGCAGAAAGATCACAAATTCAAGCTGAGCCTGGGCATCTTAGCATCTTAGTGAGACGCTGTCTCAAAACAGAAAATGAAAAGGGCTGAGGATGTGGCTTAGTGCAAAGGCCCGGGTTCAATCACCAGAACTACCAAAAAAAAAAAGTAAGAAAATAGCACTACTAAACTATAAAAAGTCAACACTATAAGCACAATTCTGCCTTAATCTGTGCTAATTGTAACTCATAAATTGTGTTATACTAACAATACAATGCAATATTAAGAATGATAAATTCTGCTTCACCACTCAAAGAATGTAAGTACATTACTTCATAAATATATCTTAAAAAACAAGAAGTTATCACTTGCCAACATTTTTAGGCAAACTTGTTTTAAATAAATGTCCTCTAAAAAATTATAAATATTTTAGCTCAGTAGCTAAAAACAAAACTAAATACACATATGGACACAATTAATTACAAAATGATTGGTTCCACAAGCCACAAATAAAAAAGTTTTACTACAGAATTTTATAGTTTCTCAGCTGTGTATCCCTTGGCTAAAAATAAATTAGGGTGAATGTGTTTTTGGTAGAAGGTGAATCATTCCAATTTTAATCATTATAAATTATGTGAAAATCTGCTGACTGATTAGACTAGAAGACTGAAGTTTGTGTATGCTTTAAAGTAAATTTCCAAGAACTTTTAATCATCTACTTATATTCTTATTGGTATCCAGACACACTACAAAATTCACATTTCAAGAACGCAGTTTTACTGTAGTATAAATATAACAAAGGCACAAAGTACTATCTTTTGTAAACTACAGCTCAAAAAAATGCTCTGTATCATAAAATTATATATCAAAATAAACCAGAAACACCGTAGGCTTTGAGGAAGACAGCAGAGTAGCAAGTAGCAAAGAGCGGCTCCAAGATCTGGTGACCAGAAACTGGGATATAGCAATGTGAGGAAGAGAAAAAGGAGGGAAGCAAGTCACTGGGACCAAGAAAGGATCTGAAGCAAGAATTGAAGCGCACAGGGAAAGTGAAGGAGACTTCAACAAAGGAGATGGCAAGCAGCGCTATCTCCCTGAGCTAGGACTCACTGTGATGGGAGGCTGGAACCTGTAAACACGTGGTAACCACTGCTGTCCCCAGAGGCCGCCACAGAGAAACACACCAGTGGAACAGAGCAGCGGACAAAGCAGACTACAGTGGCTATAGTTATCCAGGTTCAGATATCTCCAGGAGAGGGCAATTGGCCAGTAGTCATCTTGGAGAGGGGCCAACTGAGCTCAGAACTCACAACACTTGCAGCCCGGATCTATCTAGTGACTCCCACTGGCAGGTCAGGGAGCCGAGTTCAAACTGTCAGGAACTCGGGGAGCAAAGTCCAAGCAGGCAGAAGGCACACAGACTGCTGTAGGCTGAGGAAATCTGGTTCCAGCCTCACAGCCAGAATTTCAGTGGAAATAAAGGTGAAGGTTCACTGGGACAATCAACTGCCGAAAAGCTACTGGTGGCTTGCTGAGATTAATCAACTGGGTTCTAGACTCTGTCTGCCCTCATTGTCTACTAGTGACAGCAGAGACACACCTTGAAGTGGACATACGTTTTTATTTTTTTCTCTTCTTTTTGTTTTGTCCTTGGTTTTGCTAATATGGTGTATTACATTTACTGATTTCCATATGCTTTTATTTTTGTTTTTATGTTTTGGTTTTTTGTCCAGTACCAGGAATCAAACTCACAACCTTGCACTTGCCAGGCAGGCACTGTGCCACTGAGCTAAATCCCCAGCCCCTGATTTCCGTATGCTTATTTTGTTTTTATATTTTATTTTATTTTGTCTTATATTGTTTTTGTTTTTATATGAGAACATGATTTCTAGATTTTTGTTTTTACTGTTTTTGTTTTTACTTATTCCTTCTTTTTCCCTCCTGCCTTCTTGACCAGTTTCTCAAATTTGCATGATGATCTTTTGTTCTCCAGCCTTGCTTCTACTCTTGTCTGCTTCTATCTATTTTCCCTCCCAGTCCATTTTAAATTTCAGACCCTCAAGGAAAGCTTTCAGTTTTTCTCCATTTAGTATGATGTTGGGTGTCAGTTTGACATAGAAGACTTTTATCAGATTGAAAAAAAAGACCACCCCAATTTTCTGTATTGTTTCTACCAGGAATAGGTATTAGACTTTCTAAAATGCTTTTCCTGCATATGTAGAGATGACTATATTGTAAATTGAAGAGGTAGGACCTGGACTCTGACTGCACTGTCCACCAGCAACACCACAGACACTCCTTACGTCAGCCATTGTTCCTCCTCCCTTTTTGTTTTTTTGTTTGTTTGTTTTTATCTTTATTGCTTGTTCTTGTTTTTACAAGTGAGAACATTCCTTTTTGGGGGATTTTTGCTTTGTACTATTCTTTTTATTTTTTCCTTCCCTCTTTCACTACTTTCTTCTACACCAGTTTCCCAAAGTATGCAAGTTCAGCTCAAGGTCGTGAGTTCGGTTCCCGGTACCGGAGAAAAACCAAAAAAAAAAAAAAAAAAAAACCAAAGTACGCAAGATCTTCCTTTGTCCTCCAGCTGTGTTTCTAATCTCTTCCTCTTCTATTTCTCTATTTTTTACCCATAACCCCTTTTAACTATTTTTTACCCATAACCCATTTACCTATAACCCCTTCTCCACTGAGAGAAAAACTGTAACCTTAAGGATTTATTCACAGCATAAAATTTTCTGGTTTGTTTCATATTTTTGTATACAACCACAAATCTAGCTCATACAGTTAAAGGTGGCAAATTAATAGTGATCTCAGTTTGTCATTTTATACATTGTGTTTGATTCCATTGTTATCTCATACTGTATCATGTTAGCCAAAGTGATGTAATTCTTCTAACCATTTGTTCTTCCTGGTATACCAGGACTGAGATTGATTAAGGGTAATAAAAAATAATGTACACCAGTGCCAAAGAACCACGGGCTGGGCCAAGTAAGTAGCAACTTTTCATCCTCACTAAATTGAAGAGCTTTGATCTTGCAACAGATTCAAGAACCAAAAGCAAACTATACAAAAGCCTCTGAGAAGTAGTCATTTCCTAAGGGTTCTAAGTACTAGCAATAAAGCTACTCACCATAGACAACTTATAAGCACTAACCCAAGAATTAAACAAACAAAAAAATAGAAAACGAGATAACATTTTAAAAAGATGCAACCCCTGAAATCCAACTCACCAAAGGCAATCCCAGGGGGCAATGAGGTGGGACAATTTGAAAGCCACCCATCAAGACTCTCTCAGGTAGTAACAACAAAGCAAATGAATAAAGCTCTAGAGAAAAATCAAATCAGAAATAATTTCTCAGATAACTACAGAGATGGTGAACACAATGAAAAACATGCTGAGTGACTCTGGAGAAGAGCTCATATGAATTATCAAAGCTGAATCAAGAAGATATACGAATCCTGAATAACTCATTATCAGCCAACGAAATTCAAATGTAATAAAAAAAAAAACTTACCAACAGAGAAAATCCCAGGTCCTGATGGATTCACAGCTGAATTCTACATGAAATTTAGAGAAGATCTAACACCGATTCTCCTCAAACTCTTTAATGAAATTGAAAGGGAAGGAATTCTCCCTAACTCATTCCTGGAGGTAAGTATTACCCTAATACCAAAACTTGAGAAAGACCCAACCAAAAAAGAGAACTATAGGCCAATCTCCCTAATAAACATAGATGCAAAAATCCTCAGTAAAATACTAGCAAAGAGAATGCAGCAAATCATCAAGAAGATTATACATCATGACCAAGTGGGATTCATCCCAGGAATGCAGGGATGGTTCCACATATGCAAATCAATTAATGTAATACACCCTAACAATAGAACCAAAGACAAAAATCACATGATCATCTCAACAGATGCAGGAAAAGCTTTTGATAAAGTCCAACACTCATTCATGATATAAACCCTACAGAAAATAGGAATAGATGGTCTTTACCTCACTCTGATAAAAGCCATCTATGGCAAACCAACAGCCAACATCATACTAAATGGACAAAAACTGAAAGCTTTCATTCTAAAATTGATTGGACTGAGACACACACAGAACCAGACCAGACCTTCTGACATGAGAGGAGTCTTTATTGAGCGGGAGAGTGACGCACTGTGCTGCCTAGCAGACCAAGACAGCCCACAGCTGTGCAAAGCTTTGGGTTTTTAAGAGTCTTTTGGAGGAGACTGCTTGCAGGCCAGAACAGCCCGAGAAGGAGTCTTGCGGTGAGGGTTTCTTGATTTTTGCAAGAACATCTGGTGCTTTTAGGGGCAGGGTTGGTCTTTGTGGTTTGGCCAGGGGATGGGGGAAGTAATCAGAGGAACAGTAACTTCTCAGTGAGGGGGAGGTCTTTGATCTATAATCCCTGACCTTCTTTAATAGAGATAAGGGCAACATGATCTGGCTACTTCCTGCCGAGGAGGGGTGTCGACTAGGGTTTTGTCTGGGATGCAGTCCTCATGGTGCCTGGTCCAAGTCATCAGCTGGCGCCACCTGGTAAACGGGATCTGAGAAGCATAAGGTTGAAATTTTGGGTTGTGAGTTTTTGAACAGTGTTGCAAATGAGAGAGATGATATAAGGGGCTATGAGGAGCATGATGCAAAGTCCTGCTACTGGTCCTAGCAAGGGTAGGAGCCATGGCAGAAGGCCACCCCAAAGTCCCATGGGGAACTCGGCCGTTTGGCAGGACTGAGTGCACTGTTTGAGCTCTTGGGTTTTTTATTGGATTATTCCAGACTGGTTGGCAAATAAACAGCATTCTTCCCCCAGGAAGAGAAAAGTACCTCCCTTTTTAGCTGTCAGGTGATCCAGGGCGTGTCTGTTTT